GGCGCTATATAAATCCTGTATAATAATAATAAATAATTTAGGAAGATAAAACTTATAAAAGTTCAGTACATTTTTCTTCACCCGCATGTGTGTGCTAATTGTAAATAATTTTTTTTACACAAAACAAAAAAAAAAAAAAAAACCCAAACACATTTTGAAGTAAGTTTACGATTTTGTGTTGGGAAGCATTCATAGCCATCATGGGCCGCAGGTTGGACACCCTTGGGCTGGGCTCTAATTTGCCTTAAATTTACCTCCTGACTCCTTCCCTACCCCCATGTGATCGTTTTGTGCTAATTATGAGGCACCTTGCACTGCCACATGGCCAAACAGACCAGTGGTACAGCAAAGGAATGGTGAATATACAGTTGGCTGCTGATTGGGGGGGGGGGGGGGGGTATAGCTAGGGAGTACAGTGAGCTTTTTACTTTGAACTGTCAGCAAAGGAAAGGGTCACTCTAAAGTTCTCAGAGGCCTCTGAAAGCTGCCCTGCCCAATTTTCTGTGAACCTTGAATGCTCTGTGTTCAAAGAAGTGCTGGAAGGGCATCCAGTGTTCATTAGAGAAGCAGACTTAATTAAAATGCTCTCCTGGCACAGCAGGGAAAGCAATCAAAATTACTTCTAAAGCCATATCTTGTTATTAGCTTTGTATAGGGTAGGGAGTATTGAAAACGTTTGCCTAGTTTATATTATCCTGTCTGGCCCACTTTCCCTTTACTCGCTGCAAAGGCACTACAGGAAGTGTCAGCAAAATCCTCTTCCATAGTTGTATTCTGAACAGTTGCCCCAATCTGAAGACTTTCTATTCCATTTTTTTACCCATTTGGAAAAACAATTCAACCACACATGGGTTTCATCAATTCTGTGCTCTAGTTCAATAAAAAGGTTTTACTTTGGGTTTACTTTAAGGATTTTCAGGATTTTCCTAGAAGTATCCAAATTATTGGAAAAAAAAATTGTTTCTGCCACAAGAATTCATCTTCAGAACTAGCATCTAAAAAGGGACATTTTTGGCAAAATTAGCAGCGGAAATACATCAATGTTGCCCTTTTATATTTACCATTATTGGGTCAAACTGACCCTTTTTAGAAGTCAGATGATATTTACAACCTACAGTGGCTGGGCCACTGTAGGACATTCACAGAGATGTCCCTAAGAAACTCCTGTGTTGTCTTGGCTGTGTGCTCAGGATCCTTGTCAAGTTGGAAGGTGAACCTTCAGCCCAGTCTAAGGTCCTGAGCACTGAGGAACAGGTTTTCATTGAGGATATCTCTGTACTTTGCTACATTCAGCTTTCTTTCAACCCTGACTGGTCTCCCAGTCCCTGCTGATGAAGAACACCCCCACAGCATGATGGCTGCTACCACCATGCTTCATTGTCAAGATGGTATTGGGCAGGTGATGAGCGGTGCCTGGTTTCCTCCAGACATAATGTTTAGAATGGAGGCCAAACAGTTCAATCTTGGTTTCATCAGAACAGAGAATCTTGTTCCTCACAGTCTGAGCATCCTTCAGGTACTTTTTTTTGCCAACTTCAAGTGGGCTTTCACATGTTTTGCAATGAGGAGAGGCTTCCGTCTAGCCATAGGACCTCTGGAGTTCCGTCAGAGTGACCATTGGGTTCTTGGTCACCTCTCTTACTAATGCCCTGAGTGCCAGAAAGGCCAGCAAACTAGTTCAAGAACTAGAAATCTTTCAACACAAGAAGGTTTAAGGGCATTCCAGTAACCATTTATCAAGAAGTGTTACTCCAATCAGGGTTACATGTGGCCTCTACCGGCCTCCTGGTGGTCCCCTGCAGTTACTGTGTACTTACTAAAATAAACTACATACTGTACATTCTGTTCATGTTGGTTCTTCCAGGAACAAGGTAGTGCTGACAAGGAAAGCTAATCAAGATTCGCCAGCCGAGTTGAAAAGGGAATTACATACGGAAGATATAGAGATTTACCAGACATGTGTGATTGTTAGCAGGTCTTGGGGCAGATTCTGACACATTGGTTGGTTTAGATCTCCCCACTAGCTAAAGAAGAGTGGGAGTTGTGGCCAGGCAAAGCGCACGATACCTACAGGATGAAGCAGGTTGAAACTTATAATGATGTAGTTTTTTTTTTAGCAGAGCTGACTATCTTGCTTCTGGGATTTTTCCACCCCTGGGAGGATCTGTTACTAATATCAAATTCTTTATTGGGTTAGATACAAGATATTTTTTAAAAGTACTTTGTTAAGTCTATGTTATTTTCATGGAAACAGCTGGCCAAACCAGGAGGTGAGCCAGATAACTGCGTTTAAAGAAAAGCCTCTCTTATCTCTCCTTATAGTGGAACTTCACTTTCTCAATCAACACTGACTATTTTGAATCCTTATGCTGCTAGCATTAGTAAACAGATAGGAAAGTATATTATATTTACTTGTTTTAAAAATGTTTTTTACATTTCTTTAGTTACTTCCTAGGTTCCATGCCTAGCCAATGATGTCATACATCCAAGGAGTCTTCAGGAAGGGAGGAGGAATTTTCTCAGCTAAGCACACCTTTCTCCCTGCATGCCTGAGTTAAGGACAGATGGATTCCAGGAAGTAAATGCTACAGGAATCATCTGCCCTTACTCAAGATGGCCACAGACAAACGCTAGGGGTGTTTTTCAAAGTGATTTTGTAGCAAAAAAAGCATAGAGACATGAATAGATAGGAGAGTTTACTTTGAATATTACAAATAAATGAAATAGTGATTTTGTTTAGTGGTGCTCAGATACAGCGTAGTTCTGCTTTAAAATAAAGTACCTGAGGTTAGGCAGGGGAGGAGAGGACAGGATAAGCAGTATACTGTAGACTGCTACAGAAAAGAGATAAGTAGGAAGGGGTGTTATATAAAATAGACAACAAAAAGCCTAAATCTGCCTACAGACATTAGATGGATTTTGTATCAGGAGAGGATGAAAGCCAATGGCAATAGAGAAGGGCCAGAAATTGCTCTGTTGGCTTCCTCGGGAGTGCGATCGCATAGAGAAGTCAAACCTGAGATAGCTCTGGTAGGAGAAGATTGCTGAGGAATGGAGAGCTAACAAACATGGCTGCTCTCCTATCCAACTATTTAGGTTCTGTTATTTCTGTAAACACCTTAAAGTGAACCTTGGCTTTGGCCATGCTTCCCTGTTCAAACACCAAACACTCACCTTCCCTTAGCTTTCCTGCCACTCCCCTCATCATCTCACGCCTGGACTATTGCAATTCCCTTCTCACTGGCCTACCCAAACGAACGCTATCCCCACTCCAGTCCATCCTAAACTCAGTGGCTAGACTCATCCGCCTCACCAACCGCTCCGCATCTGCCTCCCCCCTCTGCCAATCCCTTCATTGGCTACCGACTGCCCAACGCATCAAATTCAAACTGCTAACTCTGACCTACAAAGCCATTCACAATGCCGCCCCAAACTACATAACTGACCTGATACCCAAATACTACCCTACCCGTGCCCTCCGCTCCTCACAGGACCTCCTACTCTCTAGCTCCCTGGTCTCCTCCTCCCACGCCCGATTGCAGGACTTCTCCAGGACTTCCCCCATCCTCTGGAACTCCCTACCCCAATCCATCAGACTGTCACCTACCCTCCTCACCTTCAGGCGCACCCTGAAAACCCATTTATTCAGGAAAGCTTACCCCAACCTCACCTAACACCCAACCTCACCTAACAACTAACCTCCTCCACTCCTCCCGCCACTCCATCCCCCACAGCCATCTCCTCCTGTGCTACCTTCCCCTCCCTCCTAGATTGTAAGCTCGGAAAGGCAGGGCCCTCGAACCCCTCGTGTTTTGTATTGTTACTGTCTTGTCTCATGTTCTGTCTCCCTTGCTACTGTACAGCGCTGAGCATACCCTTTGGTGCTATATAATGTATAATAATAATAAGAATAATAATAATTCCATTTGGCCATTGGCAGCAAAGAGAAATACTTGGCATTTCAAGTGTGGGGGACCCTGTGACTTTCTCCAATTCCAACCATTTCATAGCCCTGCTGCTTGCTGACGGACCCCTCAGGCACTAGCTCTCTCATACTAGATCAGGAAGACAGTCCTTAACCCTTGTAAACTTCAAACCATGACTTTACCCAGGGCTTCTTCTCTCCATTCCTGGTGACAAACTAATTGGTGAAATGTCAAACAGAAGTGGAAGTTATAGGAAATCATTTGCTTTCCCTGCACTGGGGGCAGATTAAATATTTCCATTAAAAGTGGCTCTGAAAATATCAACTATTAGCAAATATATTATGTATTGAAGTTTCAGAAATTTCTGACGTATCCAAGAATAGTGTCCCACCCTGGAAGTAGCCCCTTTGTTAGCAGGGCCAAAGTCCAAGGACAGTTTTCTTTTTGGAAGGCATTTTCATGTCTCTCCAGTTTTCAAGAAAGACCCCCCTTATAAATCATCAGGAGAAATTGCTTTGAAATAAAAATCAGTGAGCTTGAACACACAGTTTACAATTCAGTGCCCTTGGAAAAAAAAGACATGCTTGTAGACTGTTTTATGTGGTAAAGATCATCTAAAAAATTAATGAGGGAAAGGAAACAAGTAATGTGTAATATGTTTAGCTTAAACGGAGAGCAAAGCTGGCAGTTCTTGCTTTAGGACACCATTTGTTGCAGAAAACCAGACACCTCATGGAAACGCACTATAAAAAGGATACCCGTAATTATCCTCCTGATGGCCCGATGGAAGTCTAAAATGATCGACTGCACTGGCATAGGAAACTTCAGCCAAAGTCTGTTAAAAAGTGTATCTAAACCCTTAAACAAAACTGTACTACATATCAGACTTTACAAATCCTTCCTGTCCTAGGGTGGCTACGCTCACTCACGCCATTGTATCTATGGAGGGATTCGTTGGTGTTGCTCAGGAAGGACTTCAAACAATTCTTCCTCTTTTCATCTCCATTAAAATGGAGGTGGGGGATTCAAGGTTAAAAAAAGGGCAAAAAACCGTTAAAGTGTCACTAAACTCATGACTCTGCATTCACTATATCTGGTCTCCTACAGTACAAAGGACATGGAAATGCAATTATTTTAGTAAATATAAACTGCTAAATACCTTATCATCGGCTTATAGGAGGAGTTTTCATTCTTCTCTGACTGTCCTATGAGGCTGCATAACACCTGACCCTCTGCCTGGACAGTGCTCATTGGCCCCTGTGCTGATCACATGCACTCTCCCAAGAACAAAAAAAAAAAAAAAAACAAAAACAAAAACTAGCAATACACACTAAACTGAGCATGTGCATCTTGCCCCCAAGGCTCTGTTCTATCAGCAGATGGATTGGGGACAACAGAATAAGGGGAGGATCAGAAAAGACAGGATCAAACAGCCGTTTTAACACAATGCGGAGGATTAACCCCTTAGGATCCACAGTGAGTATAACAAGAATGCTTTACTGCATATACAGACTGATTTTACTGTTGTGGGTTTAGTAACACTTTAAGCTCACAGGAATTAACAAGGTCACAAGCTTTCTAACAATATCAACAGGTATTTTCTGTACTTGTGGATGTTTTTCTTAGCCTGAAAAAAGAAAGTTAATGTAGTCACCACTACAGTCTAAGGCAGCGGTTCTCAACCTGTGGGTCGCGACCCCTTTGGGGGTCGAACGACCCTTTCACAGGGGTCCCCCTAAGACCATCAGAAAACACATATTTCCGATGTGTAAAGAGCAGCTACTGTGTAGAAAGCAGCTACTGTGTTGAAAGCAGCAGTATTGGAGGTAAAAGGACACTTCATGAATTATAATTACTGGGTAAATAATTTTATGGTTGGGGGTCACCACAACATGAGGAACTGTATTAAAGGGTCACGGCATTAGGAAGGTTGAGAACCACTGGTCTAAGGAGTGATAAGCTGCACAATATTCAATTTTGTTCTTGGGTTTAGAATTACCTCAAAGTGGGCCTTGCAGCAAACGTCACTGCTGGCACAGTGTATGATGTACGGATCATCTTCTGTAAAAGTAAACTTACCCTTTATTTAGGAAAGGGAGGATTATAGTGTAAAGGGTCACATCAGGGTAAAAGAAAATAATGATATAGGGCAATAGCCATGACTGCATAGTATCTGCAAACTTACAAATCAAACATCAAAGGCCCAATAAAATCAGGCCAGATGCAATGCATTGGTCTTCGAGGAATATAATTACAGGTTGCAGAACTTCTTTTTAAACCTCATCCCTGCAAGTGGTGCACAGACCTCAGTAAAACTCCAGTAAAAGGTATGGCATATGTACATTCATAAAGTCAGTAAAAGAGGACCGATCATTAATCTGCACCTAAAACAAGCCATAAAAAAAGCTTAAGAGGCAGGAAGACTATATAAACCATGCTCAAAGTGAGTGATCAACACGTGTAGTCTGGACTGATATGTAACATACAGCATAATAGATTTTTAAAGAGAATCTGTTATCAAAATAAAGAGCACACACAATATGGCTGTTTTTGGATACCTGACCTCGACACCTACCTACGACCTTTTAGGACCTCCCAAAACCATGGTATTATTATGGCATGTCCCCACTCAAGTTTATAACAGTCTCCACTTTTCTGGGACAAGATTTTAGAGTGTCTCTGTGGGATTTGTGTAAATTCAGCAAAAAGAGCATTTGTGAGAGGAGAAAACCTGTCTTGTAACTGGTTTTCAATTTTATCCTGAAGGTGTTCAATTACATTAAGATCTGTAGAGGCCAAGTGGATTCCTCCACACCAAACTGAATATACCATGTCTTCATGGACTTGGCTTGTATACAAAGGCAAACCCATGCTGGAAGATAAAAGGCCTTCCACCAAGTTGGAAGCGAGCAATTGACTTTGTATGCTGTAGTATTAATGCCCACTCCGAGATCAATCTGTGATGGTGAAAGAAAAAAAATCCCTACCTAAATGCCTGTTTTTGGATACCAGACTGACAACTACTATGACCTTTTGGGACTTTCCAAAACCATGGTATTATTTATTGAGTGTCCCCCCTCATGTTTATAAACAGCCTCCACTTTTCCGGGAAGGTTTTCCACAAAATTTTGGGAATTCATGCAAATTCAACCAAAAGACCATTTGTGAGATGCAGTGTTAATTTCGTTGACAAAATTATATCTGAGTCAGCTAAAATACGCCTAAAACTAAAATGGCATTTTAGTCAAAAGACTACGATTAAACAGAATTTAAATTTGACATCAAAATTAATACTGGTTATATATCACAATGGCTAAATCTGTGCATGTAGTGCATGTTCAAACCTTAATACCATAAATAAGAACATTATTAGATTTTTACTCCAGAAGTATTTGAGTATTGACAAAAATGATTCGGCTAAAATGTACTGGAGATTTTAGTCGACTAAAATGTAGGAGATTTTAGCCAACTAAAATACGACTAAAACTAAACTGGCATTTTAGTCAAAAGACTAACGAAAACTAAATTGAAATTTGACTTCTAAATGAACTCTGGTGAGATGAGAAAACCTGGCTTATAACTGGTTTTCAAATTCATCCCAAAGATGTTGAATAAAGTTAAGCTCTATACAAGCTAAGTGAATTAACCCACACCAAATCTATACCATGTCTTCATGATTCTGGCTTTGGCAAAGGGCAAAGCCAATGCTGGAAGATTGAAGAGCCACCAAGTTGGCAATTGTCTTTGTATGCTGTACGTTTAAAGCCCCACTCATAAACTCATGTCATAAAAAGGGGCAAGTCTTAAAGTTCTGCAGTATTCATATTCATATAGTACCTATATGCTGGAACTATGTGAACACTGCAGGATTTTAAGACTTGTCCCTTTTTTTATGGACATGGCTTTGGGAACCCCTGCTGTCTTTTGAACGCCCAAGCTTTGATTACCATTTCTGTTATACCGGTGACCCCTCCATGCTGTGATATTGTAGCTAAACCATTGGGGTGTTATCTCCTTATTGAAGATTATGTTTGTATGATTGCCAATTTCTTCTTGGCTACTTCTGGTTGCCTCTATCTGGGGGGCAGTGGATCCATCTTTTTTTTTTAAATGCACCTCCATGGGAAACATGTTCATGTTATACGTTTCACTTAACTATACCCCGATACTCCTAAAAGATCCACAGTGGGTTCTGATGTAATGTTTCCTTCCTGAAGAAGGATTTCTGAAACGTGTTGAGCCAACATGTGAATTATGTTTGCAATCTATACATGTTGTGAACCACTAAGTTTAGAGTATTTTTTAACATGGTTTTGTGTGAGTATCAAAGCAATTTTATTAAATTCCATTACAAACATAGTCTTTTTATATGTGTACACATAATGTCCTATAACTAAAAATCTTGTTACAGTATATATGATGTTTAGGGACGTGGACATATAGCACTCACAGTCTTCATTTTCAATTTAGTGGAGAGGCGGCATGCTTTTGGCCAGAGTCTAGATGTGGTGGTCAGGTGTCCACAAAGGTTTTGACCAGTAGCAGTTTTTTATACCCAGTTTTATTGCTCAATATCAGCCCATATGATCAGCCAAAGCTTTGAGACTTGCCTCTTCCTTCCTCCTGCATATTCTTACTGGCTAGCCAATTCAAACACTGATGAACCAATAGGAATGTGTGGAGGGGGAGAGACAAGGCAAGCTCCAACATTACCAGAAGTACCAGAGCCCTGCTTATCAAAACAGCTGGCATTAGGACTCTTACTACCCACACCTTAAACCTGAAGAAGTTTTTTGTTTTGTTTGAGTCACTTTAAACGACCAATATACCCAAAAAAAGGTATTTTGATCACTGAACAGAATTTTACATATAATAGCCACTTAGTTACAGGAGTTGGCACAAACTGTAAGGGCTCATTTACACATGCAGTGGTTTTCATCGCCCTCTGAAAAGCAAATCAAGTGGTGGAATACTTTTCAGGGGGCATTTGACAGGTAGGAGGCGATAGGTCAGATGTTGATTGTCTGATCAGTAGCAGCTCCTATATTTGAAACCTGATATATTTTCTCTTTAAGGATGTATATCGTTCAGCTACTGTCCTATATTCAGATCTTATTTTCTGCCTCAAATTAAGTATGTCAAATTTGCCATGTAAATGTGAGCAAGGCAGTTTCATGCACAATTAAGCAAGATTTTCCAGACTGCAACAAAATAGCCTGTATGTCTGTATTCTAAATTCTTTGTTTCGGCTTACAGATAGAGAGACATTACTCGGATTCCTGCACTAAGGGCAAGACCAGAAATAACATCTTACTCGCTTGGCTGAACTTACTGCTGCTCTTAAATATTACTTTTGTGTTTGACATTTTCAGTTATTTTCTTGACATTTAAAATTCAGATGAGAATCAGCAAATTCTTATAAACTTGGAAAGAAGAAAAAAAAAGAAAAGAATGCTCATTTGAAGCATAATCTCACTCAAAAGAATCTGCTTTGCTTATTGCCATCTGGACAAAGTAACAGCCATTGTGGAATATTCTCAAGTGAACCTGTCATTAGAAATTACACCATAAAACAGGCAATGGGGGCAACCAAAGGCAATACAAGGTGAAAGTACACACCACTGACTCAAAAATTACTTGGGAACCAATGAACCCTGGGTGTATGTACTATGCAAATCATGACTGGTGTAAGTAAAAGCTCAAACATGCCTGTATCAGACGAAGCAAACGACACCAAGGTATGCAAAGAAAGCACTTCAGGATGAGAATTCATTGGCGAGGATTTAGGAAATCTCTACTGGCTTTAAAAAATTGATGACTAACTCCTACCGCTCCATGGTTGCATTTCAATCCACAACCAGCCATAATTTTCTGCAGTACAGGGCTTGAGGTTACATTTCAAGCATCTGCTACAAAAGAAATATATTTTGGTTAAAATCTTTAAAAAGGTCTGCACATATAAAGAATGCAGGGACTGTGACATAAAAGGGGATCTAAAGGCAGAAGGTTTTTTTTGTTTTACCTTAATGCATTCTCTTGCACTGGGATATTGTGTGCTAGCAGGGTGCAAAGTTTTGTGCAGTGCACAGTGTGCC